ACCAAATATTTGTAGACTCTCATCTGCGATATGCACACATAAACATGCTGCTGTATTTGAAGTTAAGACTGTTCTGTATTGCTGATTAGTGATTTCAAACTCCTTGCAACAATTTGTTTGACCAATTAAAATAACACGGTTGCATACATATCAAGCAGAAGAAATTTCGAAAGAAAGACACAATTTAATTGTGTGTTTGTCATGTGTATATACAATGTATGTGTTCGTTGTTTTTGGATACAAATTTTTGTAAGCATATTATATTGATATATCTGCAATATATGGAATATTTGTTCTGACCGGTGAGCAGCGTCTGTGTTTATAGGGTCATGGACTGTTATTGAGTGCCTTAATTAGAATAATGTTTGGAAGTATTTGTCCTGGCCAAGATATGGTGCCTAGTTTGTTTTTGAGTAGATGTATTTGTCCTGGCCAGAGAATGGTGCCCATATAGCTACGTGTACATATGTGTTTTGGATTATTTGTCCTGGCCAGAGAATGGTGCCCATATAGCTACATATATGTTTTGGATTATTTGTCCTGGCCCAGGAAGGATGCCTATATGTCCCGGCCCAGGTAGATGTATTTGTCCCAGCCCAGGTAGATGTATTTGTCCTGGCCCATATAGATGTAGATGTACCTATGTGTTACACAGCCTTTCAGGTGTTTGTTTTGGTGGTCTGCGGGCTGTACAGGAATGTGTAACATACTTAAACATGTGTATTGCTTCTGATTGTTATTGCCTCGCTCCACCCATTCCTTGTGGTCTTACAGTAGACATTCTGCTATAATTGATTCCCATACAATAAGAAATATCTGGCAAAGTTTTGTCACAAGATTATTTACTTAGAAACGAAAAACAATATTGTTGAAATAATTATGTAATTTGGGTCATGATTAGATTTGAACTTTTTTGGTGTCAAATGTATGTCTTATCTTTTATTTTAAAAAACAACAACATTTCAGCTGGAATTTAGTATCAATGCACTACCATGCCATGACACTATATCGTTATTAGTTTTGATATTCAGCAGTGCTCCTTGACAAAATAGTAAATTGACAGTTTAAAAATATTGAAAAAGATTCAAAATTATTTGAGATGAAGATTATTTATGATTATATATGTAATTGATTTGCCTGTAAATATGTAAATACCAGACTTTAATTCACATACTGGCATCATGCCAAAATATTTAGGGTAGATTTTTTTTCTTCAGGTTTACTACCGGTATTTCAGTAAAAATGTTAGAAAATGTAACATGTTTACATGAGATTTGGGAGAGTCAGACTTCCTTTTTCTTACCTACTATACATATATTTAAGAAAAGAAATACCTAGTAAGTCTCTCTGATACAAATAAGAGTACAGTATTATTTACGTATTTTTAATTGCTTGATAAACTTTTGAGTTGGCAGGAGGAGGGTTGGATGGGAAACCTGAAACACATTTGTTTAGGCCTTATGCATATTTACGTTAGCTGGCTACAGAATCTTGTAGGTATATAATGGGTAACAGGTTTGTAGGTTAATGAAGGTGAGTGTACACCTCATGGTTACAATTACTGATGGCACATATGTACACAGAACAACAGTCTACATTCATGTTTTGTATTGTCATCTATGCTGTGTAGACATTGTTGATGGCAGAACACAGTTACACAGGTGTATATATAGACCATAATAAACATGTTGTTTGTTTCCTGTCTCTCTACACTGACTCATTAATGTAGAATAGCCTTCTCACTTAATTTTATTAGGAGACCCTACATTAGGGATTTAAGGAAGGGGATGGGCAATAATAACTCGCCATGTCTGTTAGTCTGCAGTCCATGCACAATTCAGTGTTTCAAAATTTCCTCAGGATCCAAAACTAATCTTTCTGAAATTTGATATGGTGATACATTGTAGTACATAGATGTGTAATAGGGATTAAAAAAAAGGTCAAGTTCAAGGTCACCTATCAAATATATTCCATGAGGCCGTATACGTATGGTCCTTATCTCAGAATCCGAAAGTATAATCTTTTTGAAATTTGACATGGAGGTAGGTTATATTTATGATATCGAAAGTTGAAAGTTCCAATGATGTTATAACAACAGCGAGACACAATTGTGAAGTCATGATTGACATTAGCTCTGAACAGAGTTAAAACAAGGCATATATGCTAATTTCAGACGGTTTCTTCAATTGAATCGATCACATGTCTTTAGGTTTTGAAAATGAAATTGGCATCTGCTGATGAGAAAAAATAGTTATGAACCATTCACAGAAAAGTATTGTAATCGCAAGAAACAGTTTTCTATTTTGGTCAGGTAACCTGATGATAATAGAACTTATACTGGTATATATTAATTAATATATCACCAGTGTTATTTGTTCATACCATCACAGTCTAGAGATCTTGAGGAAAAACAAATATATTTTGGATGGCCCTTTATATATAAACACACATCTCTGACAAATACAGATCACAGTATTCTGTTGAGTTGGCCCTGTCTATCTCTCTCTGATACAAATAATAGTACAGTATTCTGTTGAGTTGGCCCTGTCTCTCTCTCTCTGATACAAATAAGAGTACAGTATTCTGTTGAGTTAGCCCTGTCTATCTCTCTCTGATACAAATAAGACTATAGTATTCTGTTGAGTTGGCCCTGTCTATCTTTCTCTGATACAAGTAAGAGTACAGTATTCTGTTGAGTTGGTCCTGTCTATCTCTCTCTGATACAAGTAAGAGTACAGTATTCAGTTGAGTTGGCCCTGTCTATCTCTCTGATACAAATAAGAGTACAGTATTCAGTTGAGTTGGCCCTGTCTATCTCTCTGATACAAGTAAGAGTACAGTATTCAGTTGAGTTGGCCCTGTCTATCTCTCTGATACAAGTAAGAGTACAGTATTCAGTTGAGTTGGCCCTGTCTATCTCTCTGATACAAGTAAGAGTACAGTATTCTGTTGAGTTGTCCCTGTCTATCTCTCTCTGATACAAGTAAGAGTACAGTATTCAGTTGAGTTGGCCCTGTCTATCTCTCTGATACAAATTAGAGTACAGTATTCTGTTGAGTTGGCCCTGTCTTTCTCTCTGATACAAGTAAGAGTACAGTATTCAGTTGAGTTGGCCCTGTCTATCTCTCTGATACAAATAAGACTACAGTATTCTGTTGAGTTGTCTCTGTCTATCTCTCTCAGATACAAATAAGAGTACAGTATTCTGTTGAGTAGGCCCTGTCTATCTCTCTCTGATACAAATAAGACTACAGTATTCTGTTGAGTTGTCTCTGTCTATCTCTCTCTGATACAAATAAGAGTACAGTATTCTGTAGAGTTGGCCCTGTCTTTCTCTCTGATACAAGTAAGAGTACAGTATTCTGTTGAGTTGTCCCTGTCTATCTCTCTGATACAAGTAAAAGTACAGTATTCTGTTGAGTTGGCCCTGTCTATCTATCTCTGATACAACTAAGAGTACAGTATTCTGTTGAGTTGGCCCTGTCTATCTATCTCTGATACAAATAAGAGTACAGTATTCTGTTCAGTTGGCCCTGTCTATCTCTCTCTGAAACAAATAAGAGTACAGTATTCTGTTGAGTTGGTCCTGTCTATCTCTCTCTGATACAAGTAAGAGAACAGTATTCTGTTGAGTTGGCCCTGTCTATCTCTCTCTGAAACAAATAAGAGTACAGTATTCTGTTGAGTTGTCCCTGTCTATCTCTCTCTGATGCAAATAAGAGTATAGTATTCTGTTGAGTTGGCCCTGTCTATCTTTCTCTGATACAAGTAAGAGTACAGTATTCTGTTGAGTTGTCCCTGTCTATCTCTCTGATACAAATAAGAGTACAGTATTCTGTAGAGTTGGCCCTGTCTTTCTCTCTGATACAAGTAAGAGTACAGTATTCAGTTGAGTTGGCCCTGTCTATCTCTCTGATACAAGTAAGAGTACAGTATTCTGTTGAGTTGGCCCTGTCTATCTCTGTGATACAAATAAGAGTACAGTATTCTGTTGAGCTGGCCCTGTCTATCTATCTCTGATACAAATAAGAGTACAGTATTCTGTAGAGTTGGCCCTGTCTTTCTCTCTGATACAAGTAAGAGTACAGTATTCTGTTGAGTTGGTCCTGTCTATCTCTCTCTGATACAAGTAAGAGTACAGTATTCTGTTGAGTTGGCCCTGTCTCTCTCTCTCTGATACAAATAAGAGTACAGTATTCAGTTGAGTTGGCCCTGTCTATCTCTCTGATACAAATTAGAGTACAGTATTCTGTTGAGTTGGCCCTGTCTATCTTTCTCTGATACAAGTAAGAGTACAGTATTCTGTTGAGTTGGTCCTGTCTATCTCTCTCTGATACAAGTAAGAGTATAGTATTCTGTTGAGTTGGCCCTGTCTATCTTTCTCTGATATAAATAAGAGTACAGTATTCTGTTGCGTTGCCCCTGTCTCTCTCTCTCTGATACAAGTAAGAGTACAGTATTCTGTTGAGTTGGCCCTGTCTATCTTTCTCTGATACAAGTAAGAGTACAGTATTCTGTTGAGTTGTCCCTGTCTATCTCTCTCTGATGCAAATAAGAGTATAGTATTCTGTTGAGTTGGCCCTGTCTATCTCTCTGATACAAATTAGAGTACAGTATTCTGTTGAGTTGGCCCTGTCTATCTATCTCTGATACAAATAAGAGTACAGTATTCTGTTGAGTTGGCCCTGTCTTTCTCTCTGATACAAGTAAGAGTACAGTATTCTGTTGAGTTGGCCCTGTCTATCTCTCTGAAACAAATAAGAGTACATTATTCTGTTGAGTTGGCCCTGTCTATCTCTCTGAAACAAATAAGAGTAAAGTATTCTGTTGAGTTGGCCCTGTCTATCTCTCTCTGATACAAATAAGAGTACAGTATTATGTTGCATAAATGTGATGAGCACATGCTACTCTGTAGTCCTGTGTGTATGTATACGCGTACATCTCTGGCTCTGGCTGTCAATCCGGTGTGTACAGGTATATGTGTTGGTACACATGTGCAGGTACGGCATTCAGTCAGAAGCAGTTTCCTGAGGTTGTTGTGTTAATATATAAATCCTGTGTAGGGTCGGACTAGCCTGCTATTTGGTGATGATTCTAGTTATAAAGGAGGGCTGTTTGTGTTACCTGTCGGATTTCACCTGTATACGACTGTCCAGTGTGGAGCTTTGAAACTTCCTATGTGTGTGGATTTATATAGGACTGTCACTAGACGTCCACAGTTCTTCTACGATTCTGATATTCATGGATGTTCGTTTCCACGATTCAGCCGCGCAAGTAACGGACGAGTAACCTGACCTGGTCAATGAGGTGTGGTTTAATAGCTTTCTGTTTAAATTCATTATCTTATTTAGAGCTATATTGATACATGTATTTTCAGGGGTTTTCAGTTGACCTGTGATTTTTAGCAATTTTTGAAGTCTTATTAACTTTTCCCAAAATGTTCATATGGCCAAAACATATATCAAATATACATGCCATTTCAAACCCTAGAGTCGAAGGTCATTTTAGGGAGTCAATGACTAACGTATGCTCTCAAGGTTCTACTGAAAGCCAAGGTGTTATTTACTGTTGTCCTATAGAAATGTTGAAGAACAAATGTAACGTAATATATATACAGTTTAGCATACAGTGAATTCTGGTTGTAAATAGACTTATGATAATTTCAGGGTTAACATTATATATATTGAAGATTATATTTATGATTTATAAGGTTTTGCATTTGGATCATATTTGGAAAATATGGGAGACCTAGTTAAAGTGTAACTATGTATATGAGTCATTATCAGAAATTGTCAATTTTCTGAATTGAAAAAAAATGCAAAAACAACATCAATAAACAATCAATTTTATATAACCAAACTGAAGTACATATATCAGTATTTAATTATTTCAATACCGGAAATCTGAAATATTACCTGTTTGGTTACCATAGCAACGGAAATTTGGTAATTAAGGTAAAAATGTCCATTATGTTACCAATTTTAAAATTGATTTTTTAAAGGTAAAAAACAGGAACTTTAACTTAAATTTTGTTTAATTTAGAACAGCAGTACAATTTCATAAGTAGGACATGGACAATAGTTTCCTCAGTTTTTTCGTTAGGGCAAAAATCAAACTATATCAATGGCTTAGGTAATTGCATAGTGACGGGGTCTGTTCCGAATAGAATTTTTAACATCAATGCATATGCTTGTTCATGAAACAACTATATATTTGCTTATGGTTATAAATTGATATACCATGAGCAAAAAGAACCGAAAATAGGCAATGCTGCAAAAAGTATTGGGATATTTAGTTCAAATAACATAATGGACATTGCATGTAACATAATGGACGTTGGTAACATAATGGACATTTAATTGAAATCAATGGACAATTATAATGCAAATGAAATGTCCGTTGTGTTACTAGTAAAACAAGAGTAGATAGTACATCAATATGTAAGCCGACAATGAACGACGCGACAGCATTTCAATATTTAGTATGTATCAATTTCTTCCAGGATTTTTAACATTACTTAAACTGCTGCTGCACATATTATGCTCTATATAAGGATGATGCATATCACGATTACAGACCGGATCAATAATTGCTGAAAAAAAGTTTACTATTTTCTAGTGGTGTCCGATGATCAATTAAAATCGAAAACTAATCGGTTACACAACCAATTGCGACTAATCAATTATGAAATCCCATAATCAATTAATCGGTTGAAATTATTGCGTGCTGTTTTCTATTGCTATCTGATTAGCATCCACCTAAAAAACTACTTAAGCTTTGGTTAGGAAGTAAATTTTCCTAACAAATATGTCTTTTGGCCAAGTTGGAGCTTAAAGTTCAAAGTGTATAAAATGGTTTTTAGTAGCAGGTGGACATAAGTCAACCCTTGATTTTAAATTTACATTGTAAACCAATACAATTTGGATTANTACTGTACTGTCTATCCAGCTGTCCACTTTTTCTTTAGCAAATACTTTAATTAATACTATTCATTGTGGAAGAATTTCGCAAGCATGTACAATGTAAATTAATCTAAGGCTAAAATTAGAATTGTGTGAAATTGGTCCATCATTGGCATACTCATGGTCTGATTGTGTACACAGAAAAGATCAGGTGGTACAATCAAAAAGTCGGATGAAAACTTTGACAACAATGTTCAAATTTAAGTCTCAAAACTTCTTTCATTCAATTCATTGACAAAATGATTTTTTTTGATAATTTATTGACAGAAAAAGAAATGGGACTCAATTACAGAGTCTGAGTTTGAGCATGAAAATGTTTTCATGAGTACGGCCCCAGAACTATTCTGCTGCCCCCATTACAACTCCTGGGACATGGAGATCTGTTTTCTATTCTGATATAAGTAGCCCACTCTTTCACAGTGTCTTCCTAGCTAGGCACCTTTGGTTTTGTTATGTAGCTACATTGTAGAATATTCTCACCAGATTTGCTGTCATACAGTTTCAAGGTCAAGTAAATGTATGAGGTTAAGTGAATGTCTATCACAGTGCTTCTACTGCAGGGAAACCTAATAAAATATTATCAAGTCTCTGTTGATCCAAGCTTTGGGGCTTAGCCATAAATGAGGGATTGTATTGTCCTCACCCTGACAATTTATGTCACATCAATATAGACGAAAATCTTATCCCGAGGGTTGAGATTTTTCCGTTCAACTCCTAAAGTGGGGAACAATTATTTTCTCCCACATCAAATGCAAATTTGTAATTTAATGAAATGTAAACTTTTATTTCACAATTTCAAACTTGGATTTATCTTCTTTGATGCTAAGCTAGTTATAAGAATATCTAATTTGGCTTCATGAAATATTAATTGCATAAAAAATTAAAATAAATCAGGAAAAAGTGATTAACTTCTACATAAAGTGTATGTGACTTCCATCTTGGACTCTGCCAGAAACAAGCCATATATTTATTTAGAAAATAAAAGTACCCTTGATGCTGAATTTAATGAGATGGGATCTGTAAGCTATGTTGTGAACAGCTGATCATACGGGTAAGAGCGGTACGGGTCAGATTTATCGCCAGCAATTTATAAGTCTTGAGAGGCCCTTTCATCTTAATAGTGATGTCTCTTTTTACAGTATTGTTGGTCCTAAATGACTTACATTGTCGATGGGCCGTTAAACAATACAAAAAAAAACAAAAACAAACATCTTTATAATGATGACCTTTGTTGTTTCAATGATGTGAAACACTGAAAAAACAAATGATATGTTGACACAAGTTTTTTTTTTGCAAGTTGTTCATAATTTCTCCTTTTTATGTTTCAGTTTTTTGGTGAATTGGGTCACACATTTATGGAGTTCGTGACGAACAGTGGAGATTACTGCCAGGCTCAACACGCACTTTAAGTGTGTCATCCTCCTCATCTCTCTCATCGCCGCCGCCGTCATCGTGTCTGTTACTGTCTGTCTGCTGGAGCTCCTCCTTGGATCTTCTCCTCCCTGTGTGGAGACAGATTTCATCTAGGATCTCTGTGATCAACTATCGTTTTGTCATCGTAATTTTTTCTGTTTTTGTCAACAAGTGTGTCGTCACCTTTGCCAAAGCGAGCAGTGCCTGTCTTGCTGTTCCGTCTTACAGATGTAGCCGTCGTGAGTGTTGGACCAGCCATTATAGTATATAAACGGTGCTTGTATACCTCCCGTGAGATTTACCTCCTGCCCCCGAGATTTCGTTGGTGACACTGCGAGTGTGCAAATTTAAATACATGTCAGCTTACGAGCAGTTACAGAAAGAGTGAACAAGGAACAATTCTTGGCTGACTTTGAATCGACAAGAAACACAAAGTGATCGGTTGCTACACCAAGAAAACTTGAATCTATCACTGTTGTAATATTGGATTTCAAAAGTTTAGATGGGTTAAATTAAAGAAGTTTGTCTAGTCTCTCAAAAACTATAGACATATTTGTTTTTAAGTTTATGGACAATTGAGGAAAAATTACGAGTTGGATGTGGGTTCATAGTAATACAGACGCCCGCTGGTCTTTCATTTGTCAGTTTAGTCTCGGTGGAATTATTGTGTTTTCGTTTACACGTACCTCAGAATTCATCCTGTTCATCTGAGTGTTTGATTGTTGTTCCGTGTGTAAGATATATATTATATATTAACTGTTGTGTTCCAGTTATTAAAACTGTATATATATATAAATATATATATAGGTGGTGCATTGATATTCAAATAGCTAAGAATATAAATATATATATTTTTCTCTGCTTTATACGGATATATATTGTGTTCATATTGTAGAAAAAACTGGATTTATTTTTTCGTGAATCGTGGATATTTATTCCGGGACTTGGTTTTTAATGTGGATGCCTTTCACAGAATCATTGCTTACATTAATAATTTGATGCACCTGTTGTTTCACTCTTGTGGTAATATGGTCATGTGTCCTTGAATTCGTGGGGAAAACATTACGGAAATCTGATGTGTCATTTCCCGTAAAGAGAAAGTTTGGAAACTTCAATGTAAAGGTTTACTGACTGTGGGACATCACAGTCTCCAGTTCACTTCAGGAAGTAGGGAAGTCGTAGTGTTACACAAGCTTTCCTTGGATCTGGATTGTTTAATTTTCGAGGATTTGTTTAGCTAATGTCTGCAAACATGAAGGCCAGACGACCCGACCCGGCTGAGATCGAGTATAAGAATATGAGATTCTTGATCATGGACAGGCCAACAGATGCCACCATGGACAAATTTATAGAAGTAAGTATTTTTGTACTTGGCCTGAAATATATGTTTCAGGCATAAAAACTGATGAAGCAACCACTTTCCTGCCGACTTTGATTTCGATTTTTTCCCAGAAATTCTTTATCACATTCATGATCAAGCAAAGATTTACATAATTAAAACCTTGTTTTATTCACTGAAAGGAATTTAAATAAATGCTTTAAATAAAACACCTATTACCCTAATTGTTATGAATTTATTGTTAATGATGCCATATTTCCAATTCCTGGAAATGTAAGACTGCCACCATAAGTTGTATATGATTAGCTTGGACGTATATTGCTAGAAGGTTTTTTTGATATAATTTGCATTGAGTGCTGGAAATTGTGATGGCAATTTTTCACAATCTTGTGGCCTTACATATATATATATATCCTCTAATTATCTATTATCATGACCTGTATTAATTGTCGCAAACACCTAAAGACATTGAGCATTCTTCATTCTTACAGGAACTCGAGAAACGTGGTGCTAAAGATGTTGTCAGGGTGTGTGAGCCAACATACAAGACGGAGAAGCTGGATACCCAGGGCATCCGGGTCTTGGTGAGTTAATACGCTTGTACCAAAATATACCCTCGAGGTCAGACGTCAAGCTCTGATGGTTGTCTCAAAGGTCAGTGACTGAAAAAGGTCAGCGAATAGCTCAGTCAGGCCATTTATGCATTCTGCCATGACCTTGTCAGCAAAACTTGACACAGATTTTCACTAATCTTTAATAAGTAATAACACTTGAAAAGCATTCAAGTTCTTCATTATGTCGGTATACAATCATCAGTATTGATGGAGGACTTTAACAATTTGAAGATTTTTCGTCCCAAACCCTTATATTTATTCCAGTTGTTCATTATTGAAAATTTGCCCAGTTTCTATGCCTATGGAACCCAAGTCAGTACATTGGAAGTACACTGTATCCCCACACTAGAGACTAGTGACGACCTGATGCTCACTTATAATTAACAAAAATATCCTTTTACCCTTTCCGTTTATGATTGTCGATTACAAACTCAATAGTTGATATTATTGGGTCGTTATTGAAATCAAAGTGTCAAATGTATACTATTTAAAGTGTACATTGAAAGTAATTTATTCTATATGATTGACAAAGCTGCATAAAAGTTACTGAAAATCCATTCATGATAAAAAAACTAAACCCGATGTATACCTTCAAAAACTCTGTCTGTTGATCATGATGTAACAGTAGTACTAGTGTTCTCACTTCAGTCCCATAAGATTATAAACCAAAAGTTCAATCAATCATCAATAAGATTACAAACTGATATCAATTAAGATTTTAAACCCATTGCCATTCACTACAAAAGACAGGAAACCCTGACACCTGTTCCAAAACTTTGACCTTAAAAATTGAAAATAGCTAAATTATTCCGGAATAAATTTTGTTCTGAAATGTCCCAATGGACCAATATGGGCTAAGTCTATATTTCCGAGTGCATAAATACACATTGAAGTAAAGTGTCTTAAACATGTAAATTTGCCTAAACATTTCTTAATAATGTAAGATGAACAATTTCTTGCTATGAAACATCAACATTTGGTCTCTTATTTCTCTCCAACTCGACCAGTAGGGAGGTTAACCCCTATGTAACTTAAGTAAACTCTTCCATGCTTTGATCTGGATGAGTCCATTATGGTCTTCAGTGGTGAAAGGGTTAAAACTGCTCTGCTTTATAATTATATATATATAAATCATCAAAGACAGCTAGGATACTGAGAAGAAACAGTAAAATACCTGTACCAAAGGCTGACATAATGGCTGTGAGGTACAACACGTGTGTGTTTAACCTTTACTGCCTACTGAGCCGTCATGATCAGTAACCGTTGACCTTTTTATATGTGGTACAAACTCGTAGGAAATCTTTTGCCAGAACTGAGCTGAGCTAATTATACATAAACGTAGAGTTTGATTGTAATATTTAGCATTGATAGTGCCAGACTAATTAAATCTATACCTATATATAAAACCATGGCTGATACCAAATATAGAACAGACTGACAAACTCCACAGGCATGCTTATCAGCGGTGCTGTTTTAATTTCATTCGTCAACGATTGTATTCATTTGATAAATTTAATTAATAAAATTTTACATAATCAGTTATAAATACACACACAATATACGTTCCAAAGGAAGTAACATTTATATTAAAAACAACTGCATTAGATAAAACTTAAAGATCAAGGATTTTGATAAATACAGACATATGAATGACTGGGGCTATTGTTGAAGGATCTGGAGCCCCTAAGCTTATAACCTATGCTAAGATTTTGCCAGCATGGCTTTAAGCTAAGCTTTGATAAATCAGTTCTGTAGAGAAAACCGTACCTTACTTTTATGAGAAATAATAATAAAGATAAAATAAATAAGATACCAAAAACAAATCATTGGGGCTAAACTTGGATTCGAACCCTTGACTTCAGATTGTTATGGCATTGCTCTATCCATATGAGCTGCCTGCAGCTGGTCATCGGAAGTGTGCTGACTTAACTAACTCTATCCAAAAGGAAGTTACTGAATAAAGGAAAAACCACTGCGAGTCATCTTCGCTAGCCAAGTGTTCGCTTCGTATACACTCCACTAACCCTTGGCGGATATAGCCGTGTTTTCATAATTCCCTCCACTGCCACCTAGCGGATATACCGAGTTATCGTTCTTCTCCAAATAAACTTTTAACCAATCAGAATGACCATTACATACACACTCCATTGGCGTGTTGACATAAGCATGTGTATCAGTCGAGGCGGAGTATAAATGACAGAGCAATATGGAAACAATCCAAAGGCAGCACACATTTTTTCCAAGGTTATCATTTACATGTGGCATGTAGTCAAAGATTTCCACCAACTGCATGATTTAACACTCCAGAAGTTTCCCAAAAGATTGTGCGCCTATTTTTTGGGGGCAAAACACTCTGACATAAACGACAATGTGCTTCCATACAGGGCGTCACCATTACTGTTTTCCTGCGTCAACGGCGCTATTTGTAAGACGCAATTTCATTGGATGCGAGCGATTGGCACCGCATGAAAACTTGAAGGTTCGGTAAACACAGCTTTATCCGCCAAGGGAAAATGGAGTGTATACGAAGCGAACACTTGGCTAGCGAAGATGCTGTGCAGTGGGACAGGGATCTTTGAATGAACATGAATAATTTGGACATTTAGAACAGATAAGTGTCAGACACATTTCCCACTAACTGTAATCAATTGATGAGTCATGATTATTATACAGTTGAATTAATTGCTGTATGCTCATTTAATCGGAATATGGTAATATCCTGACAAGTTTTAGGTCTTAGTTTTTGTGAAAGGAAGTGAGTGCAATATTTCTGAATTTCTTATATATGTGACATACAAGATGATCATACATTTTCTTCAGATAGCATGTATCAGTTCCCCTAATTACCAACCACAAGACATGATTTTGGAAAGATAGAATTCAAATTACATTGATGGTTTTTCAAGTTTGAGGTGGATGATTTCATGTTTGGGTTGCTTGATGTCTGGTTTGAAGGTTGCATCTGGTTTGGGATATTTGATATCAGGTTTGAGGGTTGATGTCAGAGTTTGGGAGGTTGATGTCAGGCTAGGGTTGGTTTATATAAGGCTAGGGGTGGTTGATGTCATGTTTGAGGGTTGATGTCAGGTGACTGATATTTGATGTCAGGTTTTCGGTGGTTGATGTCAAATTTGAGATGGTTGATGTCAAATTTGAGATTGATGGTATCAGGTTTGAGGTATTTGATGTCTGATTAGAAGCATTGATGCCATTTTCGGGGTTGATTTTTGGTTTGATGGTTGATGTCAGGTTTTTATTACGCCTGTCAAAAGACGGGACATATTATATATTTCATCACGTTGGCGGGCGGACGTGCTTGGTGTCCACTCAATATCTTCATTAATTTTCAGCATATATAATTCAAACTTCATAAGAAGGTTCATTACCATAATAGCTCAAACAGGTACGATGGTACCACCAATATCCGACGGTCACTTCTGGAGTTAGGGTCTTTTACTCACTTTCCGAAACAGTGTCTGTTACTCACTTTCCGAAACGGTGTCTGCTCGATATCTGTCTGAAGAGCGGTTGAAGAGCTGTTGAGGTGGTAGGTTCAAGGTGTTTAATATTTGTTTTGAGGTGGTTGAAGATTGGTTGAGGTAGTAGGTTTGAGGTGGTTTAAGATTAATTTGAGGTGGTAGGTTTGAGGTGGTAGGTTCGAGGTGTTTGATATTTATTTTGAGGTAGTTGATCAGTTGAGGTGGTAGAATTGAGGTGTTTGATATTTGTTTTGAGGTGGTTGAAGATCGGTTGAGGTGGTAGGTTCGAGGTGTTTGATATTTGTTTTGAGGTGGTTGAAGATTGGTTGAGGTAGTAGGTTTGAGGTGGTTTAAGATTAATTTGAGGTGGTAGGTTTGAGGTGGTAGGTTCGAGGTGTTTGATATTTATTTTGAGGTAGTTGATCAGTTGAGGTGGTAGAATTGAGGTGTTTGATATTTGTTTTGAGGTGGTTGAAGATCGGTTGAGGTGGTAGGTTCGAGGTGTTTGATATTTATTTTGAGGTAGTTGATCAGTTGAGGTGGTAGAATTGAGGTGTTTGATATTTGTTTTGAGGTGGTTGAAGATCGGTTGAGGTGGTAGGTTTGAGGTGTTTGATATTTGTTTTGAGGTGGTTTAAGATCGGTTGAGGTGGTAGGTTTGAGGTGATTGATATTTGTTTTGAGGTGGTTGAAGATCGGTTGAGGTGGTAGGTTTGAGGTGATTGATATTTATTTTGAGGTGGTTTAAGATCGGTTGAGGTGGTAGGTTTGAGCAGGGCTCAGGCTAACCACCCGGCCACTCGTCCTGACCGGGTGAAAATTGAAAAGGACGAGTGGAATTCACAACCACACTCGTCCCGGTGCCGAGTCAATATAACTGAAAAATACACTAGATCTGTCGCCTAAATATTGTGATGAATAATCAATGGAACACTTTTTACCAAGTAACTTATGCACAGCATCGAAAGTAAACAACGTAAAACATGCCATTTTCATGCTTGTCATAAAAATCACCTGAGCGCTTGAATCAAAGCATCCTGAACGATGTACTGCGGGACCCGACTGCAGCAATCGCAGCAGGAACTAGACTACATAATGTTCCGAAACTAATCGAAACGAAAGATGGAAGGGAAACTTTACCCCTTTTTCACAAAATGTACAGTGTTGACACGATATATTTGATGAATGGAAATCAAACATATGTTGCTAGTTATGATGTGTAGTAATTGTATTTACGAAAAAAACATTAATGGACATTGAACAACATCCTCTTAACAGGTCAACAGATCAGTAAATATTTATTGAAATTTTTCATAATCTCAGGTGTACAGTAAAATTTCAGGAGTGCGGAGTGGATTTTTCATGACACTAGGCACAGTGCCTAGTGGTTTAAAAAGTTTAGCCTGAGCCCTGTTGAGGTGTTTGATATTTATTTTGAGGTAGTTGAAGATCGGTTGAGGTGGTAGGTTTGAGGTGATTGATATTTGTTTTGAGGTGGTAGAAGATCGGTTGAGGTGGTAGGTTTGAGGTGATGGATATTTATTTTGGGGTGGTTGAAGATCGGTTGAGGTGGTAGAATTGAGGGGTTTGATATTTGTTTTGAGGTGGTTTAAGATCTATTTATTTTGAGGTGGTTTAAGATCGGTTGAGGTGGTAGGTTTGAGGTAATTGATATTTATTTTGAGGTGGTTGAAGATTGGTTGAGGTAGTAGGTTTGAGGTGGTTGAAGATCAGTTTGAGGTGGTAGGTTTGAGGTGGTAGAATTGAGGTATTTGATATTTGTTTTGAGGTAGTTGAAGATCGGTTGAGGTGGTAGGTTTGAGGTGATTGATATTTATTTTGAGGTGGTTGAAGATTGGTTGAGGTGGTAGGTTTGAGGTGGTTGAAGATCAGTTTGAGGTGGTAGGTTTGAGGTGGTAGAATTGAGGTATTTGATATTTGTTTTGAGGTAGTTGAAGATCGGTTGAGGTGGTAGGTTTGAGGTGATGGATATTTATTTTGGGGTGGTTGAAGATCGGTTGAGGTGGTAGAATTGAGGGGTTTGATATTTGTTTTGAGGTGGTTTAAGATCTGTTGTCTTGAGATGGTAGGTTTGAGGTGATTGATATTTGTTTTGAGGTGGTTGAAGATCGGTTGAGGTGGTAGAATTGAGGTGTTTGATATTTGTTTTGAGGTGGTTTAAGATCTGTTGTCTTGAGATGGTAGGTTTGAGGTGATTGATATTTGTTTTGAGGTGGTTGAAGATTGGTTGAGGTGGTAGGTTTGAGGTGGTAGGTTTGAGGTGTTTGATATTTGTTTTGAGGTGGTTGAAGATCGGTTGAGGTGGTAGAATTGAGGTGTTTGATATTTGTTTTGAGGTGGTTGATGGCTTTTTGATGTCTGTTGAGTTTACTACGCTCCCATCCCAGTTGTTTGAGTTGATTGACCTACTTTCCCTTGTCCTCATATGGAGGTCACTAGGGTGTTGTTATCTGTGCACGTTACAGGGAAGTGTAGTATTGTAGGGATACAGGAATGCCATTCATGGGGAGGATCTGGCCCAGACAGGAATTTATCAAGAGGAAAGGTTTGATGGAAAGATAGAACTGGTCTTCCAGACTCATCTCATCTCCAACTCTGTCAACTCAAGATTAATTAACTGGGCCTGTATTCATGAAACGTACGCTCTCATGTGCAAGCATGGATTTTGTGCTCAAACCAACTTTCTAGTAACTTACTTAAATAATTTTTAACTATCAAAAAGCCGAATGTAAACATTGAAAACAGTTTATATTTGGCTTAAACTATCTCAAGATTAATTTCCAAATCATTGTCAAAATATTGTTTCATCATTAATTTATAAACGGAACAAGAAATTAGGCTTGAGCACAATATTCATGCTTGAGCATGAGAACAGTTTCATGAATACAGGCCCTGATATTTTTAGTAAAAAAAAGCAATGTTAATGCAATTTGGATAGAGTTATTAAACAATTTCTTTGTTTGGTCCAGTTCTGCCTTTACCCTGCGCCTCTGTTTTAACCCCCAGACATGAATCAAGGTGAGGGCCTTTTTAGGGCAGGTGACTCCAACGCTTACAGCTGCTCTTCAAGTATGTCTGGGAATGGAGACACATTGGGGACAAATCAAATTAGGGTTGACACACATCAGAATGGCAGTACTATTATTATTAATAATAAATTTATGTAAATCTGAAATATGTGATTTTTGTCAGATTACTAAATCTGAAGATAAAATCAAAGTCCTGTGATTCATTAAATGGTCAATCTACATGTACACCAAAAGAAAATATATTTCTGCTGTGTTTTTTTCTTTAAAATTTATATATATGGTGTCAATGGTTTGTTCCGACCAGTAGATTTGAACAGTAATCAATCACATTGACAAGCTCAAGTTATTTTAAAGGTTTTTTTTAAGTCTGAGGTGGCAGATGTAATAATTTACATGTACAGCTATACAAAAAATTTCAAGAAAATGTTTCGAAATTTCCGACAGCCTAATAAATAATTCTCCCAGAAGAATTAAATTTAAATTCAGATGATGATTTCATTATTTATACAAGCACACAATTATTCAACGGTTCTGGAAATTGTCCTCAAGACGTATTGATTTGAGGAGGTGTTCATTCTGAACTCGCAACTGTGGGCTTTCTGTCAACTGAGATATAAGGAAACGAGATGTTGTCATTGTATACAGCACATGAATAATGTATATATACATTATTGTTGTCCTGAAGCCAGCCTGTTTCAATTGAAAACTCATTGTCAGAAGAAATTATACCAGAAATAATGTATTTAACATTATTTTAAAGCATCACTTGAATATATGGGGTAGACGTATATGTTGTTTATCCTGTTTTGTACTTGTTAATTTGTTGAGGTCTGGGGGGGCTACTTCGTGTTGTGACGTATTTCTGACGCAGGAGAATGGATGTGATGACATTTTCTTGTTGACAAGTGTTTTTTTCTTGCTTACACCTTCTGTATACATGGGGGGCTAACAACAGGGTTTCCAGAATGAAATGAAAAAATTATATGAGAATTTACTCAATTTTTAACCCAGTGATGAAAGGATTCACCACAGGATTTTCAAAATAAATCAAGGATATAACTGTTGAACCTCATTATCTATCCACCAGTTTATCCACTTGTCCCACTAGTACACATACAGCAGTATAATCTTGGAGTTACCTCCCTTGTTTTTAATCAGAAAAGATGTACCAGACTGAGTGAATGTTATCCTGTACACTTTTTGAAATATAGTTATACAATCCATATCCTAATTATTTACTATGATATACGACGTTACGTGCAAATACACATATACGCGTGCGTGACATATAGATACAATGTAGGTAAAACTTCAAATTTTGGAAAAAAAATCTTTTTAACAATACAAAGACATCATCTCTGATTGTAAAAATGTTGGTTTGAAATTAACGAAAATTCCATTAAGGAAGACATAAAAACTACCTACACGGAACAAACTTTGTATATTGTTGTTGAAGGGACCTGGAAAACATAGTTTTTTAGCCAAAGGGGATATGATTGATTTTAGTTTAATATTTAGTTTAGTTATATTAATCCACTGAAATTTTGGTACCATAGATCCATCATTACTGAGTACTGTAGAACAGTAAAGTTACAGGGACAATTAGTTTGAGTCTCTTAACCCTTTCACCACTGTAGACCATAATAGAGACATCCAGATCAATGAATGGTAGAGTCTACTAAAGTTACATAGGGGTGAAAGGGTTAAGTACAATACTTTGGTATTATACTATGGTCTCGGTGGAGTATACTGATATACAGATTTTGTATATGAACTAGTAAATATACCTAAGTGCCTGTTGGCTGTAAGCTTAATTCCAGGTCTGGGATTAGTGTCTGCAGACTGTAACATGCATTATTGTATGTGGCCTTTGTACACAATACCTTTCCCACCACTGGTAAACCTGACCGGAGGTCCCTGACCTACTGACATGTATACACTATACACCACACAGAAGTAATTGTGTCAAGTACAGCCTCCTCGTCTGTCTGGTCTATACAGCAGGCTAATTAAGATGGACTGAGCTGCTATAGCTGATCATGATACCACCCCTGTGTAGAGATTCTTTATTTCAATGGCAACTGATTGTTTCCAATTTTCTCTCATTACAGTGTAATATATATAGCTGTAGTATTAGCATTTGAATGCTTGTTAACACATAAAATATATACTCCTTTAAATTAAAAATGAAGTATCAAAATTTTTGTTATTGCAATATCTGTCTGATTATTGATTAAAAACTTCAATTTGTGATAATTCAAAAAATCTTCTGGCGTCTCGAGCATTGCTAGGAAAAAGAAAACAGGAAGTTAATTGCCTTTGGGCCGATGAAAGAACTAAAATAAATATGTGATTAATCATTGAATAAAAATTATCACTGTTAGTTCTGCTGGGAATATTTTAAAATAAAAATGAAGTTAGAAATAGAACAGAAAGCCAATTGCAATTGAACTAAAAAACAAATTAAAATATATATGTGATTTAACTCATTCACCCCTGAAACTTCAAAATGAACTATTCCAACCTTTGAATTTGAAGAGTTCAAATGTGTCTTCAGGGGTGAATGATCATGAGTTAATTATAGTTATCACTGTTAGCTTCCTGTACCTTTAGGGATGAGGGTAAGGTTAACACACCCACACATATATGATTGCCCCTTTACAATATAAGATTGATGGCCAGGTCTCGGCCTAAAGTGTGTATCACACTCTATATAACCCCAGGAATTTGTCAACTTATGTGTACAACTGAGGTACATGGGTACCGTGAAATTAGATGTATATTTGGCCTGCCAATAATAACGCTGATGAATGATTAAAGTTCCCTTTTAGGAAGCTTTAGGGCATTAGCATTTCCCCTGGTGATGGTAGCTGGAGACCTTTAAAAAACAGCAGGTGGTTCTGGTACAAGCTATAAGATAGTAGGCTAGCAATTTTTTTTCTTTTCTTAAAATTTTAGCTTACATGGTGCAAACTTCACAAACAAATGATGACTTGTAATTATGATGTAATTGAAAGCCTGTCAAAATGCTGTTTTAATAACATAATCTAGCTTTTAAAAGCTTGCTGTCAACAACTGATGACACCACCTCATGAACATAAGAACTATAATGCACTAGCTTCAATTAAGCCTGCCATGAAGGTCTTTAAATTTGTGGTATACCTATCAATGAATTACTTATATTATGGTACCTCATAAAATTTGTACAATGCAGTGTATTATAATCAAATCATTTCAAGGTATTAACAAAATCCAATAGATTCAGGAAACTCAAGAATCATTTCCGGAGACCACTTTTTGATTGGTTGTTAAAAAAATCAAAGAACATTTTTGATTGTTGTCAGGACTGGCAGTTTGACGATGGTAACCCTCCTCCCATGATGGTTATGGACGAGTGGTTCAACCTGCTCAAGACCCGCTTCAAGGAGGAGCCAGGCTGTTGTGTGGCAGTACACTGTGTGGCAGGACTGGGCAGGTGAGCGGCACATCTTGGTGGCTGTGGGATCAAACACGATCACCAAACAAACATGTCTGATGATGACATTAAATCATGTTAGCTCATTCATCCCTGAAGTTTCATAATGAACTATTCCAACCTTTGAATTGGGAGAGTTCAAATGTGTCTTCAGGGGTGAATGAGTTAAATACAGAACCCTGTGTTTCTAAACAATTTCTTGAAGTTGGTAAGTATATGAATTGTAAAAAGGTTATGCATCACAACCAGTAAGTGTTTATGTGTGACATTTTGGTGACTAGTATGGTATTTTCCCCTGTCGCCTTCACCAGACAAATGACCAGTGAAGCGTAAGAACACCAACTAAGGTGTGCTCTGTGTTGTGTACAGTGCCCAGTGTTCAGACCTTTCTGTTGTGTACAGTGCCCTGTGTTGTGTTCAGAACCCAGTGTTCAGACCTCTCTGTTGTGTACAGTGCCCTGTGTTGTGTTCAGAACCCAATGTTTTGTACATGCAGTTCATTGTGTTGTGTACTGAACATTTTGTGTACAATGCCATGTGTTGTGTACATTCCCCTGTGTTGTTTGGTATATTCAGATATATATAACCATGCAACGACCTGTGTTGTCCTTGGAGATGTTACCTGGCTGTGGACCATTTGTAGGGCCAATCAGTGCTGTGTTACACACATGGGACTTGTGGCTATGTGAATCAGTGATATCGCTTGTCCTCCGGAGGGTCAAATGTTCTTTGGCTTCTCATATAAATATATAATCCTTAAGCTTCATACTGGGGCTTTGAAGTCAGTGCTGTTTAGTGTCAATAAAATCACTTAGACATGGATAACTCGTAAAGAAAAAGTGTCACTGGAGGGCCATGTCCTGATTTTTAAATGTGAAACCATTGTGTGTAAAAAATACACTCAGTTTCTTTAAAGGGAATGTTTTAATATGTTTAAAGGTTTGCCCCCCTCCCCCTCCCCCTCCCGAGTTGATGTTGATCCTGAACTTACTATTTTCGCAATTTAGTACTAAATGTGTATATGTGTGTATATACATTTATACAGCATAAGTAAGTGACTGGCCTAAAGGAGTTCTTTTCTATAGGGGGAATGTCATTTCACAAGATTCTAGTCAAATGACTTTTCTAAATTATATCAAAATTAACACTCGGACAAACAAAAAAACATCCTGAAAACTTAAACTTGGATGACCTTGTATATCTTATCATAGTTGCTATTGTGTTGTATTTAGTATATGTTATACTTCTGTAGCCTAGCCCTGTATTTTAAAATTGTTGGCAAGGATTGATGAAACAGTATGAGTTGTTTGATGGCATGCAAGGTGCTGTCGGGAAACTGGAAAATGGGCTAAAATTGTATAAGGCATGTAGGTGAGTATTGATCAGTGGTGGTAACAGGCTACCAGTTCAGTCTCATAATGAAGCTCATACACAAACTCTGCTATACGCGGAGTCATAATTACATGGCAGGGTTAATTGGCAGAGAAAACATATAAAACCATGGCAACATATATCAGGACTACAAGCGACAGCCTGTCAGGTGATTTGCTAGCTCATCAGGAGGAATGTTCAGACACTTTGAAATTGTCACTGTCCAAATATAAAGTGAGCAAAGAATTCTTGATGGCAAGGAATTACAATAAAATTACTTTTGGATTTTGGGAACCACATAGTTATATTAGTAGCTGTAGAGTATGAAGTGGTTATTAGCTCACCTGGACCTTCACCCATTTTCAAGGTCACAGTGGCCAATATATGTTTAAATCTTTAAATGACTTGTTCTGTGTAACAAAAAGGTCCAGGGTAATGATATTTTGACAGAAGCATGCTGGGTTGGAAGACTGTAAACTCTGTTCAACTTAATGTCCTTGTTCAACATTCAAGGTCATAGGCGTCATATGTTAAATCTATTAATAGGTTCTTATGAATCAAATACTGATATTCTGCCTGTAGCTGTATTTTAGTCCACTCTTAAGATTACAAGTGTGAGATTATTACCAGGTGAGCGATTCAGGCCCATTGGGCCTCTTGTTATTTTGTGTATTTATTTTCCCAATTTCCCCCATTTTGCTACACTATATGTGTCCCTCAAGTAGGATGCGTTATATATATATGCCTGTGTGATCAGATCACAGATTTTTCCTGCCCAAGGTCAACTCTCATGTATTGTTCTCTCGTGACCAGGAAGTAATTAAAAAGTTACAGGACATGACATCTAATGTCATCACAATGTACACTATGTTATTATTTTGTGAATTATTTTCCCCAGTTTCAACCTTTTACAGCAAAACATTTTTCAATTCTTTTCAGGACCCCCTTTACATTGATCAGGAAAATATTAGTAAAGAATATGTCTTGCTTGAGAAGTGTGGACTACAGTTATTCATGTTTAATGTGTCTTATAACACAGGAAACACATAAACATTGACCTCACACTGACCAGTCACTGACCACATAATGATAAAGTACAATTATTCATGTTGTATGTGTTGTTTAAGACGGGAAACGTATAACACTGACCGCCAAACACACACTGACCACACACTGATCACACACTGACCACATAATGACTAATCAGCCACGGACTGACCAAAAATGTACACTGCCCAATCTCAAACTGACCTCACATAGGGATTCTTTCAATTGTTGTTCATAATGAGTTGTAATTATATCTAGAACGGAATTTTCATCAGATTGTATCTAGAAAAGATCCTGCAGTATTTAATCTGGGTAAGAGAATGAGATTAAAACTGGAGATGTAATAATAAAGAAATATATAGTGATGATTTAATTTTATTGTAACCGTTTAGTTTCTGTTTAAAAAAGTTTGCTGAATTTAATTCACAGAGCTCCTGTATTGGTGGCATTAGCCTTGATTGAGTGTGGAATGAAATATGAAGATGCAGTGGAACTGATTCGCAGGTACTATAAATGAGTTCTAAGCAATGCATGCTGGGGCAAGGGAGGTAACTTTAACAAAAATATTTTCCCACCTTAAATTGATGATTTCTCTACTCAGAAATGCTGTATCTTTATAACCTTTATAAAAATATTTTGGAACTTTCTTTGCTAATTTATTAAGAATTGAAAGCAGACAAGTTTTTTTGATCAAGCAAACCTATAAGTTCATCTATGTTTTTATAAATAATTAAGGTTGTTTTCTTTTGCAGCAAACGACGTGGTGCCATCAACGCCAAACAGCTTTCCTTCCTTGCAGACTACCGGCCAAAGTCTCGCCTAAAGTTACGCGGCAATGGACACAAGCAGTGTTGTATAATGTAGACCCGATAGCTCATCTTCATGTTATAAATTAGGTTTCACCCCTTGTGGTCATACAGAAATGCTGTGACAACAAATGTAAAACTAGCTGTGATTGATGGGGACATATAAAGGACATGATTAACTGGATTGGAAGGAGATTAGAGCAGTAGGAGTGCTGATGTTGGAATGTGATATCTTGGCTGGATGGAATTCAGATAAGACGGTCAGGGCTGAAGAATATCTGTGATCTGAATGGTTACTTCAGAAATCACTGTGATCTGAATAAGTACTGCAGAAATCTCTGTGATCTGATTGGTTACTTCAGAAAATGATAACAATATTGAATAAAGCAATCAACTTTGATAAACTAAGTTGGTTTGGGAATTGTACATACTTCATTGTAAAAATGTTAACCATCTGGTTCTTTTTAAAGTAAAGCTGAGGGAAAAGTATTTTATTGCAAAATTCTTTATTATAGATGTTCTGACATCACAGTTTGATATTAGTAAAAGGTTTCCACTGATTTTCAGCAGTATTTCCACTTTTGAAAAACAATTTCCATTATCAGTGGTGAATTAAACTTACCAGAAGTATCAGTACTGAAGGAAAATTCTGAAAATATTGACTGGAATAATATAAATTGCTATGGACTTAAATTTAGCCCATAAATTGGAGCTGCCATAAAACTAATATTTAGTTAGAAAACTTCACCTGTAACACTATAAAGTGCTTCATTTGATAAACTAAAGGGAAACTTCTGGCTGTGTATGTTTTGAGGCAAGGTAAATATCCTTGGACCCGTATGTTTAAAAATTGATCCGTCCTATACCACACAAGGAAACCAATTGATACTGATAAGCTTAATGCCTGTCAGGGTGGGATTTCGAATCTGAAAGAAAAGGCTTGGCCACATTGCTTATAAATAGCTGAAAATGAGTGGGAATCTTGATCTAAATGAAATATGTTCATCGGTTTGTGGTTTGTGGAGGAGGATACAGCGGACCTGATAGGCATTTAAACATATTTTACTGCAACACCTTCTCATATTACTAAATGTGTTCACACCTTTTGTTTATGTTATAGACTGCTCTTGCCATTATACTTAACTAGTCTATTTCATGGGACAGGGTAAACAAATTACCGAAAAATATCATTTCTAAGATTAAAAGCACCTTAGAAAAAATAATCATTTTTAAGATATCAAACTAATACTAGATAATGTTGCCTCACAACTATATATGTATACTATTTAAGGGTTACATATATACATTAGCTGTGACATAACCTGCATCAAGTTTCAAATATATCGCAACCTAAAAAACTTATCTCTATGCTAATGCTTATCTCCCTTTATTGATAATACTCCAGTCATTCTGAATCATAAGGTAATGCAAATTAGAAATAAAGAAAATAAAGAAAATAACACTTTGACACAAATCACAAAAATATCCTTTTAAGGAAGCAGGTACCTTAATGATATTTTGTGATTTTTTTTGTAAACTTTATAAATGAACTCTGTTCAAGTTTTAAAGTATCTTCAATATCTCTAGGGATGATATTAATGTTTTAGGTACATAAACATAAACAAATATTTTAGACACTGTCAATGCCTAAAAAAAAATGGTCTGCTGTATCCTAGAGGAAATCTGGAAAAGTAATTGTTCAGAGGTGTCAGTGTTAATGTACTGAACAATCATGACACATTAATCCTCCTCCTCCTCCTCCTCCTCCTCCTCCTATTTCATTGTTACACATGGGTAGGGTAAGTCACCTGTAATGTGAAGGCCACTTTAAATATGTAGGGGTGAATGAGTTAAAACTTCTAAAAAAAAGATTTATTTTCAATGTTTAAAAGCTATGTAATGGATTGCATTATTAAATTCCTGTATCAGTTTCAAAGATTTTCATTCTAATTTTATTAAATTACTAAAAAAAAACACTGAACGTTGAGCATATTTTGAATGGGAATGGGTTTGCTCAACAAATGTAAAGGAGAGGTGATAAATCCCTACATAGGTTTTTTAAGTCCTGATATATATATAGACATGAGTATTCCTTGTTTTTCATCGTTGTGCTCACGCTGGCATACCAAGGAAACAATATAATGTTGAATAAATCTTGAACTGGTTCTGCAATTATCATTCTTTTTAAGGACACATTTTGACAAAAAGGGCAATGCATTATTGATACAATACAAATTTGATATGTTCATACTTCACATGGGTTTTGTGAAAGAAATCTTGATGTAAATGATCAATCGATTAGGATTTGGTAATTAAGAGTTACTTATTTTTTAAAACTATTTATTGCATGCTTGTGTGATTGTGTTCAGAACGGTGTGTTATTCTGTAGCATCTGGCACATGACACACACTGGTTCAATATTTATATATATTTTCGTCATATGTAATGAAGGAATGATTGAAGATCTACCGATCCTTTAACTAAATTGTCCCATTTACAAGGAAGGGAGATCATAATATATAATTTGCTTACAAGTACAAAAGTTATCATCTGCATAGTCTGCAAGAAAGATAACTTGTTGTGACCTTGGTCAACAAAGGAGATAAACCATTGTTTTCTTCCTCATTAATGGAAATTATAATTGTTGACATTGGTAACAAGATTGATCAACCATTGTGACCTTTATTAGCAAGGGAAATAATCCATTGTTACCTTCATCCACAAGGGAGATGATCCATCTCGACCTTCATCAAGGGAGATAATCCAGTCCAGTTTAATTTGAAATTTTTTACTCATCGATAACATTTATTCCTGGCTAGGTTGGATGCTGCCTAATCATGAAGATTTGGACTAATACCCCTGAGGTTGAAGTCTAGCTCCCATTGGGGTTTGGTTATAGTTTCCATATGGTTCTGATTTTGTTCACTTCAGGTCTGATTCAGCTCCACTACTTTCCTTGTGGCACAACTGAGTTCTCCACTTGTTCCAGCCAATCTAATCTTTGGTAATGACCATGTTCTTGTTTCTTCTTGCCGATTCCTCCCTGGACAAGTTCCTCTTGAGATTTCATTAAGTTTCCCATTCAGTAATATTTAAAAGTCCTTGGAAGTATATCTTATTCCCTTCAGTCTCTAGCCATGCTCCCCTTGGTTTTACTGTGTTTCCCCTTAGGGTTTGAACTAGAATCTATCCTGCATGAACTGAATTCCGGTGCTTCAGCAACATCTTCACAACAAAACCCCTGGAACCAATATTATTAAGAATGTAATCTATTCAAATGATTGAATTTGTCCTTAAAAAACATCAAATTGTAACTGAACAAATGAAATTTGGCATTTTGATGTATAAATTATTTTGAGGATCAAATTATATTAGTTAACCTTCATTGGCTAGAGGCTACGTTTAGGTCAGGGGGCGAAATGTTTACCAATTTCACCTACTACATCTAGTTGGCAATGCCCATGTTACAACTATTTTTTTTATTGTATTCTCATGTTTCATTTTCTTTTTTTTCAATCATCTATCATCAGTAAAATAGTTTTTACCATTTTAGTTTTACAATTAAAACAAGAAATGGGAGAGTTGGGTGAGTTATCTCCCCTACTCAAATAAACATTATCTCCCTTGGTTTCACAATCTCTGTGATATGTTTACTTACTGTAATTGCATGACACAATGGGAGACAACTCCGATTTGTCTCGGAACATGTTCCAATATACTGCCTATAAAAGGAGAATTGAATGGAAGCTCAAACCTCTTTGATTGCAGAGAAAAAAGACAGATCTTGAATAGTTTGAGTTCAATAAAATTGATATGAAATGTCAACTTTCCATTAGCATTTATGTAACGATATGAATCTGAAGTATTGCATTTGTATATATATGCAGATATTGAACTTCGTCAATAAATATAAATTACCTTTCATCTTGTTTTGATTTTGTTCATGTGCAATGCATTTCAGGAAGTTAAATTGCAGTCTGAAACTTCATAAAGCTGTAAGAAATCATAGCTCATTGTCCTTTCAGTAGAAATTTTCATAAATTTATGTCATCAGCCATGGAGTTTTATTGAACAAAGTCTATAGAAAATATTTAAATCGTAAATCAATTATAAATATATAACTACAAATTGATCAGGCCTGAAAATTGATTTTTGATATGACGATGAACAGCTTTCAAGGCTATAGGTGTCTGATATAAAACTTCAAACAACCCTTTTAATACCCATTTCGCCTGCAGTAGAGAATATCGTCTTATCTGAAGGAAGGGCAATTAGGTTTCGTTTAAATAAATGAATAAATATATCAAACTACAGAACAAAGAAAAGAGCAACACCACCAGAGTCTCCCGAGAGGGGGAAAGGATGAGAGGGTCGGATCAAACGGACACGGACAAACACAACGATGATTCAAACAACGTTAAGTGAGAGCCAGTCGAAGCACGATGCCATTGTGGAAAGATATGCAAGAACATCAGAGGACTGAAAATCCATCAGGCAAGAACCAAATGAAGCCATAGGGAGATACTAACGCAGCGCACAGATATCAGCAATGACTCTTGTGAGACGCAGGAGGAAATCGGTCAGTAGTCAAAGAATAGTACAGAGAGCCTCCAAGCTTTGTTGTAGCCAGATGGCAGCATTGGTAACTTGAATGAAGCGAGTGCCCATGGTGTTCAAGCAGTGAGGGACAGGAGATTACACAAAGTGCAATGGCCTTAGACAAACGACGAGATAGCTGACGAAATCTTGATCAGGACCTGGGGGCTATTTTGGAGATCACTCTACAGGGGAATGTGGAGACGTCAATTGTGTGCAGTGTATGCAAAGAACACAGTGTATGCCCAGAACACAACCCAGATCATAGACAACAAAGGAAAACAGGAGGGAACGTAAGATCAAACAACTGGGAAAGGAGCGGAGGGAATTGGGAAAGAGGTTTAAAAAAGCACCAGAGAATGAGAAAGTTGGGATACAGCAGCTCAGACACGACATTAGGGAGACACTTCGTCGTCTAAGGAATGCAAAAAGACTAAGGAAAGGAAGGAGAGAGCAAGGAAGAGAGCAGATTTTGTCAAAGATCCATTCAATTTCTCAAAAACGTTGCTACGAGCAAGAGATCAGGCCGTCTGGAAAGCTCGAAGGAGGAATTGGATGCTCATCTCGAAGGTGTCCATTCAGACAACAGGAGAGCAGAGGCTTTCGAATATTGTCCAAGAATCCTAGCGGTAGATGCCCTAAGTACACCATTGGATACCAAACTTTCTACCCGGAAAGAGATTCAAGACGTGGTGTAGAAGGCAAGATCAGGATCAGCCTCAGGACCATATGGGATAACATACAGAGTTTTCAAGAAATGTCCAAGACTGCTAAGGAGGCTGTGGCAGCTAATCTGTAAAGTATGGAAGAAAGGGACAATACCGGCGTGCTGGAAGAAAGCAGAGGGATTCTTTGCTCCTTAAGAGAAAGACTCCAAGACGGTCGACCAATTTAGGACCATATCACTGCTGAGTGTCGATGGAAAGATCTTCTCGATTCCAAGCTCATGACAGCCTACATGGTGGATAACAGTTACGTTGACATCAAGTCAGAAGGGAGGAAACCACAGGTTTTCAGGATGCGGCATCAGCCAACTGATCAGAGAAGCCAAAAACTAATCAGAGAAGCCAAGCAGAAAAATGGTAACCTGACAGTGGTATGGTTAGATCATGCAAACGCCTACGGATCTGTACCACACAAACTGATTGAGGCAGCCCTGGACCATTATCATTTTCCAGAGCACATCCGGAAAATCATCATGAGCTACTTCGGAGGGATACAGTTGCGGTTTACAGTAGGAGAGAGCACTACGGCGTGACAAGACGTAAACAAAACCCAGCCAATAGAGGCTTCGTGGATGACCTAACGATCACTACCACCACACATGTACAGGCCAGATGGGTCTTGTCCGCGCTGGAGGAGGCGGTTACTTGGGCACGGATGCAGTTCAAATATCGGAAAAAACGTTGCATGATTATGAGGAATGGCAGACTCAGCCGAGAGTTTGTGCTGAAGGTTCAAGAGGAGACGATATCTTCAATCATTGGCAGCCTCATCAAATGCCTAGGGAAATGGTTTGATGACACACTCAGAGACAGCCAAAACCACAAGAACACCCAAAGTCAAGTGCGCGAGTGGATGAAGAAAATCCACAAGTCAGGACTGCCGGGGAATTACAAAGCATGGATATACCAACATGGCATGGTACCAAGGCTCGCATGCTGCTGCTACTGTATGAAATACCAACCTCAACAGTAGAAGGGTTAGATAAGATTGAGAATGGGTACCTGCGGAAGTGGCGAGGGGTCCCACCATGTTTCACATCAGTTGGACTGTACAGCTGTTCGGCAGAACTACAACTACCATTCAAATCGGTCGTTGAAGAGTTCAAAGTAGTGAAATGCAGGCTGGTGATAACTCTGGGGGACTCCAAAGACGCGAAAATCAGCGAGGCAGGGATACAGACCAGAACAGTGAGAAAGTGGTCAGCAAGCACTGCGGTTTGTGAAGCAGAGAGTATGTTCGATTTTGAAGGATATCATCGGGAACACCTGCGTCGGAGGACAAGGAGTTGGCTTCTCTCATTTCGAGAAGTGGGAACGTTCCTGGCTTCCATGTAGATAGCCGGCAGCAACCTAGGAAGAAAGGAAAATGATGTCATGCCTACAAAGATCTTTAAAAAAAGCAATTATCGAAATGACACATGCTTGCGAAGCAATAAATTGTTATAAAAACCCTGAGGCCAGACAAAATACCAAACGACGAATAACATCAGAGGACAGATATAGTCAAAATAAGCGTGCCTGTATTGAAGAGAAAGTGGATATCGATAAATTGAAGATGGATAACAACAGGATGTGTGCGACTTCACTGACACGGCAGCTTGAAGGGAAAAGAAGAGTAGGATCTAGGACGACCAATAACAATTTAGAGAAGAACAGTTGAAAAGCAAAGAGAAAGAATCTGATTGAGATTTTGGGAAGAGGAGAGATCGATGGCGACAAAATAGGATAAAGGACACGAAGAGGAGAGATGAGAAGAGAAATGGTCCGGGATGGACTCTACAGCACCTAGGCTGTTACATTCTACAGAGGTGGCACTATTTAAGAAAAGTGCCGTTGGAAGAACGGTCCCTCCCCAAAACAGAAATTGCAAAAAGAGAAATTAATCTCTATATGACCTGGTATTTTGATTAACCTTAGAGAATATAACATTTTGTAGCATTTCATTCGATTGAAAAAGAGATTGAAATATTATAATGCAGGTGAAATATTATTGTTATGAAGAAGCCGGCCGTAATGCCTTATTTCATTTCAATTTTTCGTCGCTTTGTCCTAATTTTAAAACCAAAGAGCAAGTTCAATATCTCAAACTCTATACCTGAATCCCGATAAATAGGAGTCTCTCAATATGACTTGTAATTGGTTGAAACTTTGGATGATAGTCATCTTTGTAAGGTTATGTTAGGCCAACTGATCACACGTTCATTCAACAGATGAATGGAAAAATGCTTTTATCCTTAAACCATTTAAAGTGTTGAGTTGAAATTATATGCAATATACTGTATCAAAAAAACGTTTCTCGTATTTTCATTTCTGCGTGTTGCTAAACATTGCTGAGTAGGACCAAGGTGGGCTTATGTCGTACCGTGGCGTCAGTCGTCCGTCCGTAAGAATACACATATTCTACCAGTATGGCAGAGAGTCTTGCCCCATACACGTCAAAATCATATATACATTTTCTGGGAATAACGTGATAAATGCAATCGTGGTATAAGAATTGACTCTCGGGTCTAGCCACACCCTTAGGGATTCCTGGGTAATAACATTGGACCAGTTGATATCTTCACCCCATAACCATATATACCCCCATTCTAAACATTTTGAGATCCTCATTCTATTACAATGTATACATTATCGAAAAACAGGAAAATTTCGATACACATTCCCGAGGGACTGGCCCTACCCCTAGGATCTCATTTGCCATACAACTGTCATTGAGCATCTTTTGCCATGATCGCTTAAATATCAATTTGAGCGATATAGGTCCTCTAGGCCTCTGGCTTTTGAAATGCATAACTTTTAGTATGATAGGATTGAAGGAGTTAGTGAAAATTAAATAAGTCAATTATTATAATATCAACATGTGACAAGATATGTGTTATCTATCGCCTGCATAGCTCAGTGGTTAGAGCACTGGTCTTGTAAACCAGGGGTCGTGAGTTCGATCCTCACTGGAGGCTGTGGACGTTTTTACATTTCCCTTGTATCTTAAGGATCCTCCTACCGCTGCCAAAAATGAAACTACACATCCTAGACCTCTGTGTTTCTGGCATGACTAGCTTTGATAATTACTTTTTTTGTAAAGTAACGTTTGCATTGCGGGATTTTTATGAAAACATTATGGACTAATAAACTGATTGCTATATACCATCGCTGAAACCGGTTGATTTACCTGGACAACGTAAGTGTATAGAAAAAGCGTCATGCGAGTAGATTGACCATTCAGTGCAATCAAGTTGAAATGTCGACAAGAAATTTGTATTCGTTTATCAAACATTTACTCTTCAAGTTAATTGTATCCCCCTCTTGCTAGCATTGATAATGTGGTACGAAATATGAATGCATTGATGATAGTTTTAGAAAATATAAAAATAACATTAAATTGAAAAAACCCAGTTATCGAATAATTTAAAAATTAAATCGGATAGACATCCTTTCTGCAGTTTCATAATCACTTTCTAATTATTTTCTGTAGCCATCTTCGTATATCCTCGACTTTTTACTCGAATCATAATAATTTACAGCTATCTGTTAATTCGGCAAATCAAATTGTAAATTATGTTTTTTTACTGATAATTTTACTTATATCAAACTGTCACAAATTA